AAGCTGCCGGGGTTCCCCGAGGTTGCCAACCGGATCAGTGCCGACAGGCAGCCAGTGGGACACTCTGGCGCCCGGACGTCAGCGAAATCCACACCCTTTTCGAGGAAGGCAAATCCACCCAGAATAATTGTTGCACCAACAGGTCGCTTAAGCCGCTGGTAAGCCTGGAGGTGCCCAGAGGATGAGGTGCGGCAGTGAGTGGTGGCTGAGCAGAGGAGCTGGTCACCCTATTTGCCAAGTGGGGGTGGGGGGAGTTCTGCTTGAAACTGTTGTTTTGGTCATTGTATTTTGGGAAGAGAGATGAGACAGCTGAAAGAATTCTCCTGCACTGCTCATGGATTACAACCACCCTTCCTGCGCCTGCCACACACACACACACACACACACACACACACACACACTCTCTCTCTCTCTCTCTCCCTCCCTCCCGCTCTCTTTCTCTCTCTCTCCCTTTCCTCTGTACCATCATGCTTTACTGCTCCCTTTCACAGCACTCTGAAGAAACCTGAGGGGAATATTCTAGAAAGAGCTGCCTGAGGGATGGAGGGGTCAGGGAAAAGTTTATTGTCCCTGGCAAGATTAAATTTTGGTGCTGCCGAGGATCCTCTAATTGTGGGATAAGGAGAGTTACCTTTCCCCTTCCTGATTCTTTGTGCCATTCTGGGCTTTCTACACTCACATAAGCGAAAAGAAATTTAAAAAAATGATAGTGGTAGTAGTATTTATTGATCATCATCACGTACTGACTTCCGTGTGTGAACTCATCTAACTCTTAAAACCATGGATACTCCTATTAGTTTATTTCTGGAAATGGAATGCAGTGCAGAAAAATAAATGAGGCAATGACAAAACACAAACTCTAAAGTCACTGAGATGACCACATGGATGAACCTCAAACACATGATGTTTGTGGTAAAAGCCAGACATAAGAGATCTTACGTGGTATCCTTCCATTTATGTGCTATATCCAGAAAAGTCTCATCAGAAGGTAGTTTAGGGGGGTTGAAATAGGAAATAGCAATAAATGGGGATAAAGTATCCTGCTGGCAGGGAGGAAATATTCTAAAACCGATTTAGAGTGTTATTTTTATTCCTGTGAAAAACAATAACAACAACATTGGAACGGATTGCGTGATATATAAAATATGCTTCAGGGACTAGAGTCATAGTACAGCAGGGAGGGCATTTGCCTTGAAGCTACCAACCTGGGTTCGATCCCCAGCATCTCATATGGTTCCCCAAACACTGCCAGGAGTAATTCCTGAGTGCAGAACCAGGAGTAACCCCTGAGCATCGCCAGGGGTGATCCAAAAAGCGTATATATATATATATATATATATATATATATATATATATTTGAGGAAAGTCAGAAAACCTAACACAATTGACAATTGCCTGAGTGGGATTTTTTTCTGTTGTTCTGTTCATTTAACTGCATTCATCTCTGCAGAGCACCTATTGTGTGCCAGGTCGGCATATGGGGTGACAGTGGTGCCCTAGACCTGGTTCAAGGTCCCTGACCTGGTGACATCAGGGTCTATCTATCAAGTGTGGGGAAAATGAAGGGGGTGAGACTAGGTAGATGAAAAGGCCAGTACTGATGTGGGGGTACCCATTGTAGGGCTGACACGGGGCAGGCATGGGGATGACAGCCCAGGAGAAGCATCCCAATGCAGGCTGGGGGTGTGAGTGAGTAGGTATGAGACCTGAAAGCTGATGGGGTGAGAGTTACTAGGGGACATGACGGGAGAGTGCTGTGAGGGAAAGGAAAGTGTTCATTCATTCATTCAGTGCAGCACTCTGAGCTCTGACTAGCTGACCCCAATGGCCAGGATTTCTGGCTTTAGAACTCAGTTCTGAGTAGGGTATAGGGTGACCAATTCATTCCAATTCGCCAGGGACTTTCTGGGTTTTAACAGTGAAAACCCCCATTCAGGGAAATTCCGTGGTCCAGAGCTAAAGGAGAGAGTTGACCCTTCCTACTGGGAAGGTCCCCCCCTCATTAAACTTACAAAGTATCAGACACAGCACCTCTCTTTTACCATTCTGTGACCCCAGACCTATCTTCCAGATGTTTTATTTGTCTCTGATTCTATCTAAAAAAAAATCTTTAGATCCGCCTTCTGTTCTGCCATCCCCAGGTCAGCACCCCCTTCTCTGTGAGCCCCCCCATCTCTCTGAAGTGACTTTTTAGTAGACTTTCTCCACGAGTGTCTCTTGGGAACTTAGGGTCTTGCCTTTTCAAAGTTGTTTCCCCAGCATCAGGGCAGGAGGATGAAGGTGCTGACGGAATCTCTCCCGTGTCCAGGGCAGGGCTGGGTGGGCCCCCTCCCCAGGGGAGTCACACCCCAACCCTAAGACAGGACAGATCCTTCCTGGAAAAGTCTGCAAGGGGCCACACCCCAGATCTAACCCCTTAACCCCTTCTACTCCATGGTTCACTCTGGCACCTGGTCAAGCCTTCTCAGAATAGTTTCTTGAAAATTGTGCTTGGGTTCCAATGGGAACAATTTTCCTAAAATAAAATGATAGGCGCTGGAGCGATAGCACAGCAGGTAGGGCATTTGCCTTGCACGCAGCTGGCCCGAGTTCGATTCCCAGCATCCCATATGCCCCCCTGAGCACCATCAGGAGTAATTCCTGAGTGCATGAGTAAACCCTGGCATCGCCGGGTGTGACCCAAAAAGCAATAAATAAATAAATAAATAAATAAATAGAATGATAAGACTGTTAAATTTTTTTTTTCGTAATCTAGTTGCTTCTCCATAGGTGCTTCTTTCTAAATACATTAGAAACATAAGATTCAGTGGTGAATATACTCTGGTCTTGATTCCAGGGTTGTGGTAGCTCAGACAATAATTTTGAGATATTGCTGGCACTCAAGCAGGCTGTGAAAACATCTGTGATTTCTATTACCGATCACAGAGACTTCTATTTGCTGTTTGATCCATAATCAAGGAAAGGTTAAATACCATTTAAAGATTAGTGGGGTGGGGGGAGTTATAATCTTTGTCTATCCTAACATGATGAATGTCTCAGAAATCAATATCCCAATCTTCTGGAGGTGTGTGTGTGTGTGTGTGTGTGTGTGTGTGTGTGTGTGTGTCTGGTGCGGACGGGGTAAGACAAGTTGCCCATGAACTCTTGTTTTAAGGCAATGGGGGATAGAGAAACAAGAAAATCGCCAAGCAAAGCAAGAACAGAGGAAAGAGCAGTGAGTGGCACTACACTGAGAAAGGCTTCATGACGGGTTGAGTTTGGGCCGAGCATGTTGTGAGCCTATTTTGGCAGGGAGCAAGGAGTAGGGAGCTGGGGTTGAGGGACAGAAACCTGCAGAGGGTTTGAGCTTGTGAATCAAAACCCGCCTACTGACATTACAGCCCCGCCTCAGCCCAGAGCAAGCCCAGGTCTTCTTTAGATCACTTTTGTTTCTGAGCACACCAAGTCTTTGTCCTTGCAAGACTGGGCACCTGCTCTCAAGCTTACATACAAGTAGACAAAACAAACCCAGTGGTTAATGACAAGACAAAAATTAAATTGCTATTCAAAAAGTGCTGGCATAAGAATCTGGAACATGCCAGAATCTGGCTAAACACACACACACACACACACACACACACACACACACACACACACACACCCCGCAAGCCATTGGAGTTCAAAAGTGGGAGGGTCACTTGACCTGTCCTGGGGAAATGAGCAAGAGGCCAGCAGTCTTGGGAGACCAGGTAGACCAAGGGTGTCTGATAGCTTCTTAGGACGCAGTGACCTCTGTAAAATGGGGACATTGAGCATGGCATGTAGCACACACACAGCCCTGGGTAATGGGAGCTGTTATTACTATTTTAAAAACAATAGAAGTTTGCAGAGGAGTTCCACTGACGCCAGAAAAACAGATCTTGGGTGGTTTTTTTTTTCTGGAGTGGTCGATAAGAGAACATGTGAATGAATGAATCAGCCTGGGAATGAATGAGCCCCCGTTTGGCTCCACCCTCCTGGGCTGGCTCCGCTCCCAAGCTGCCCCCTAAGCCGCTAGAGGAAATGGGCGGGCAGCTGCGGAGTCGCCGCCTGGTGTGCGCGGGCGGTGGTGGTGGGCAGTGGTCATTTGCTAGGGCGGTCGGCAGCGGCAGACCCGGGTGAATCCATCCACGAACGTTTTTCAGCTCAGTTTGCCCCCCTCCCCCACGGGTGCCCGTGGGCCCGGGAACCAGCAGGATCAGCAGTGTCCCCACCCTCGCGAAGGAGGTGGAGAGTGGGGGGACAGCCTTAACCTGGGAAGGTCGATCTGAGCCTCGGCCAGCAGGAGGTGGGGGTGGGTGGAGGATGCCCCTTCGACGTTAGGGTCACTGCCAGGGCGAGGCGTCCCGAAAGGCGGGCGGGGGGTGTGCGTTGGGGAACCGGGAGCCCAGAGCCTCCTTGGCGGAGGACGGGGGGCAGGGCTGCCCAGGAGGAGGACGCGGGCGCTGCTGCGGCGGCCGCCGGCGCCTTTAAGGGGCCGGGCCAGCTCTGCGGAGTTGCGCGCGAGCCCGGCGCGGCTCTGCGGGCCGGGGCCGGGGACTGGCCGGCGGGGCGGCCGGCCCGAGCTGCGGGGCCGGCGCGGGGGAGGGCGTGGTCCGGCGGGCGAGCGGGCGGGCGGGAGGGCGGGGCCGGGGCTGCGGCGCCCGGCGGGCGGCGGAAGCGGGAGTGGGCGGGCCGGGCCGAGCCGGGCCGCAGCGGGCGGGCCGGGGCGGGGCCGCTGCCTGCAGTGGGCGGGGCCCGCCGCAGAGGGGCAGTGGCCAGCGAGAGTCCTCGGCGCGCGGCTGCCGCGGCGCGTCCACAGCGTCCCTGACAGCGCGGGCGCCCCTCGCTCCCCGGCGGCCTCCTTCCTCGGCGCGCGCACACCGTCTTCCTCGCCCGGCCGCCAGCGGGGGTCCGGCTGCCCCCACGCGCCCGCGAAGCCCGCCCGGCTGACCGACCGCCTGCGGACGCGCTCCTCCACCCGGCCACGCTGGAGCCCGCGCCCGCCCTGGCCCGGCCGCGCCGGGAGCCGTGCCCCGAGCTGGAGCCGCCGCACCTGGAGCCGCGCGCCCGCGGCCCCGAGCCGCGCAGCCGGCGCATGGTCAACTCGCTGCTCTTCGGGGAGATGGCCCTGGCCTTCAGCTGCCCGCCGGCCGGCGGCGGGGGCGGCCCGGGCGCGGGCCCGGGCGGCGGGGCCGGGCCGGGGCCGTCGCCCGTGACGGCGGCGCTGCGGGACGACCTGGGCTCCAACATCCACCTCCTGAAGGGGCTCAACGTGCGCTTCCGCTGCTTCCTGGCCAAGGTGCACGAGCTGGAGCGGCGCAACCGGCTGCTGGAGAAGCAGCTGGAGCAGCAGCAGAGCGAGCGCGAGCGCCGGCTGCGCTACAAGACCTTCTCCCGCGAGCAGGCCGTGCAGACGGGGCCCGAGCTGCTGCGGCCCCCCGCTGCCCGCGGCGGCCCCCCGCTGCCCGGCGCCAACGCCAACGCCGCGGCCCCGGGCGGCCCGCAGCCGCCGCACTACGGCCGGCTGCCCGGCACCATCTGGAGCTACACGCAGGTGCGGCGCACGGGCGGCGGCGGCGTGGAGACGGTGCAGGGCCCCGGCGTGTCGTGGGTGCACCCCGACGGCGTGGGGGTGCAGATCGATACCATCACGCCCGAGATCCGCGCGCTCTACAACGTGCTGGCCAAGGTGAAGCGCGAGCGCGACGAGTACAAGCGGAGGTGAGTGCGGCCGCGCCGGGATGCGCGCGCGCGAGTGCGCGCGGGCGCGCGTGGGGGGACCCGGGCCGGCTCTGAGCAGGTGGGCTGCGGCCGGCGGAGTCCCGCACGCGCCTGCACCGACTCGCCTGGCGCGGTCCAGGAACGCGGAGGGACGGCGCCGGGCTGTCATCCCACCAAGCCCATTGTTTTCTGGGTGACATAATCACCGTCAGGTGCTGGAGGTGCTCGCGTTTTATCCCCCAGGGCCATGCTGCGGAAGACTTTCTTAACTCCATTTTTGTAGAGGAGGAAATTGTCGGCCCAGTGAAAGAAAAGAGGTGCAGTTATTAGCCTAAGGTGGCTTGGCTAATAGCTGGTAAGGCCAGAATGTCCACTTAGGTATCTCTGGCTAGGTGTCCCTCCTTGGGGCAGAGAACAAGACTCACAGCCAGTCCCCTGCCCCCCCCCCTCCGTTTTTTGTTCATGGACTGAAATGAAACCCTGCATTTACAGATGGGTAGATGTGGCCCAGCTTGTTGGGACCAGGGTCTGCCTCCTTGCTCCAACTGTAAGGTCCAGCTGGACGGGCCACGCGTTCAAAGATCTCCGCTCTTTCCACCTCTTCTTCCCATCCTTCTCAGCTGCCGTGGGTTGTGGGACTCCCCCAGACTCATCCCTGCATGCCCACAGGCCCTGGTCTGACAAATTGGATGGTGAATGGGTCCAGATCATTGTGGCGTGGACTGGACAGCCCGATGTTGCGGGTCCAGATCCCGCAGCAGGGGAATTCACAGGGCTTCCTACCTCTCGCCTGGCTGACTTTGTCTGATGGCTTTCCCATAAGGGGGGGGGGGGGGATCTGGGTGGGGGCAGGGTCCGCTCTGCTAGGGAGCTAGGGAGCAGAGGATGGGCTGAGGAGGAGGTGGTTTCCCCTCCTTGAGTGCACCCCTGAGCATCACCGTCCACCAGAGTGCTGGGCAAGGGTCACTCCTGGGCGAGCTGGTTGCTGGGCAGGATTCAGATGTCAGCACCATCACCCGCCAGAGAGGTTGGTGTAATGCCCAGGTGCCTATTGGGGTAAAAGAAAATCCACCGCGTCCCCCTCCACAAGGGGAGAGTGGATGGGATGAGAAGCCTGGGCAAGGTCTCAAGCATGGACTGTGTTACTGAAGGTGATCGCATGTGTGTGTTGGGGCCAGAGTGGTAGTTCTGGAGGTAGGATGTTTGCTTTGCATGCGGCAGACCCACTTTCAATGCCCTGTACACCATATGGTCTCGTGAGCACTGCCAGGGGTGATTCCTGAGTGCAGAGCCAGGAGTAAGCCCTGAGTCCCATCAGGCACAGCCCCAAAACATAAAGAAGATAAAGATGATCGCATGTAGGGTCAAGCCAGTGGAAGCAGACGCCCGCAGCCCACATCTCCCTCACACGCAGGGCCGGGCTGGCTGGCTCTCAGGACAGGAGGGCGGCCTCCCACGGGCACCTTGCTGCCCCTTGGTGGCAGGCAGCCTCTTCAGGGTGGAGTAGGCACAGAAACAGGCCCAAGCTCTCCATGGCGAAACCCACAGGATTGTCACAGGTGTCGTCATGCGCCAGGCTTGTGCCGTGTTTGTTTTAATGTGTGTGTGCTTCTGGACCTGGCTGCTAAGGAGATGGGAAACCGTGCCCAGTCTTAGAGGGAGACAGGTTGGCATTGAGCAATGCTCTCTTCAGTGGCACCCAGGGCGTAGGGGGTGATGTCAGCTCCTGCCGCTGGTCCGGAATGGGCCGCCCTGCTGAGACAGGTGGTGGGTGGCATCACCCTTCCCACCCAGCTCCTGTGTGTGTGCGCGCGCGCGTGCTCGCGCCTTTGTGTTGGAGGGAATTGGGCAGGTATGTCCTTTCTGAAAGTGACGCAGGGCTAGATTTCTACCAAAGCAAATACCTTCCCTTCCTCAGTCTGTTTTCTCTGTAAAGGGAGAGGTACTTGTCAGAACCCCAGGCTTCCTCAATACTAACATGTTAACACGGTCCTCAAAAAGTGCTTGTGGGACTGGAGAGATAGTACTACATGCTTTGCATGCAGCCTGTGCTGGTCCAATTCCCGACATCCCATATGGTCCCCGGAGCACCTCCCCTCCAGTGCTCAAGAGTGATCCCTGAGCACAGAGCCAGGAATATAACCCTTGAGCACCACCAGGTGTGACCCCAAAGCTAAATATAATTGAATCAAATTTATTAAGAACTTGCTCCCATTAACATTTTAGTATTAACACCATGCTCAGTAATGCTAACTTCATGTCCTGGCTCTCTGCCTTCACGCTCCCCTCATTGGTAGTTGGCCTCAAGTGCGAGCCAGTGAGTTCCGAGACTAGCAAACTATTCCAAGTACAAGGAGTCCCCACGTGTCCCTCCCCAGGGGTGCAAGGCTAGGATCTCTCGGGACCCAGCCACCACAACTGAGGTGGAATTAAACCAAATTGGAGCTGCTGTTCCAGTCCTGAGTGTTAAGGGATCGAAATCCCCTCCTTAACCTCCTGGGTTGAATTTAGCGTTATGTGATGCCTCTGGGACCCTCTAAAATAAATTTACACACGTGACATTCTGTTTTCATGTGTTTCTGGACTTCCTCACAGCGTCTTTGGGGATAAACAACTATGTCAACTATAAACAAAACAAAGAAACCACCCATGGCTAGAGGATTTCCGAGGGTCTTCCCCGCCCTGATGACTGTGTATCAGCCTTCTGCTCATTCCCTCCCAGTGAGAAGTCTCTGTGCCCAGAGTGGGGAGACCTGAGGGCTTACTAGGCACTGAAGGCTTCAGATCCTCCTTCAACCCCAGGCATCGGGGAAAGGAACCTGTGCTGAGAAGGTTTATTGCAGTCCTGTAGGATTAAGACCCACCCTGATGGCCTCATCAGGCGGTTTCTCTCAAAAACCCTGAGTGTCCTCTGGTATGTGAAGGAACTTGGAGTCTGGAGGAGCCTGCCCCCCCCCCCACACACACTCATACACACATACACATATACACACACATGCACACTCATACACGCATATACACATACACATGCACACTCACACAGACACGCACACATACACACTCATACTCACACACATACATACACTCATATTCACACACACATACACTTATACATGAACTCACACATATACACACATACATACTCATACACACACATACGTGAGCACACACACACGCACGCGCGTGCGCGCGCGCGCACACACACACACACACACACACACACACACACCATGCATCCCCCAGAGGGCAGCCTGGGATATGTAGCTCGCTGTGGCCCGTCTGGGGCTTTTTTGGGTTCTGCCTCCATGATTTGTGGCCTGCTCCAGGAAGGTGCTACCTCCTATGCTAGCGCTGCTATAAAATCTTTCATTTTTTACTTTTTAAAAATTAATTTTATTAGAGAACTGTTGATTTACCAAGTTATTGATAGTTGAGTTTTAGATAATTCCCTACACCACTGTCCCCAAGTCCCATTTCCTCCCCACCCCCACCAACCCCATTCCCCAGCCACTTTGACTGGCACATTTTAAAATTTAGTTGTTGTACTGTGGATCTCGTGTTTTCAGACTCTGTGGCTCTGTGGTTTGGATATATAGCTATACTACACCCCACGTTATTCTTTTGGATTTTTTTTGGGGGGTGTAGGTGCCACACCTGGTGGTGCTCAGGGTTTACTCCTAGCTCTGTATCAGGGATCACTCCTGGAGGGCCTTGAGATTCACATGTCATACTACTGGGGATCAAACCCAGTTCAACCTGTGCAAGGCAAGTGTCCTACCTGCTGTACTATCGCTCTGTTCCCCCCCCACAACCCCCCATTATTCTTTTCAAACAGCTTTTCTGAGGTATAATTTGTACATAACGAATCCTCCCCCTTGGAAGTGTACGACGCAGTGATTTTAGCAAATCCAGAGTTGTGCATTTGTCACCACCTCCCAGTTTTAGAATACTTGCATCACCCCCAAAATAGCTCTCATGCCCGTTTGCCGTTAGTCCCCATTTCCACTCCAGCCCAGATCGCTTTGTTTCTATCAATTTGCCTTTTTCTGGTCATTTTGCACATATATATATATATATATATATATATATATGTACTGGGCAGTCTTTTGTGTCTCATTTCTCTCATGAATTGTGTCTGAGGTTTGTCTGTGTTCCCGCCTGTATCGGTAGTATTTCCCGTGTATTGTGGAACAGTAGCCTAATGGTTGGGTAGACCTCATTCTGGGTATCTTAGTTTGGGATCACACCCAGCTGTGCCCAGGGTTTTCGCCTGGCTCTGAACTTCTGGCATTGCTTGGGGGACCCATATGCGGTGTGAGACTCGAACCGGGTTTGGCCACATGCAAGGCAAGAACCCACAAGCACCTTAACCCATTTCCTATTATCTCTCGGGCCCTCGTGGGTGGCTCTTGTTCTGTGTCCATTCACCTGCCCTGGGCCAGTGGTCAGCCACATTTAAGTTAAGAAAAGCACCTTTCTACCACAACTCTTGCACCATCTGTAGTCCAGGATTGTGCTCGGGGAAACCAGCCTGAACTAGAACTGCTGCCCGGGTGCCTGGGGCTGGCCCCAGGCGCTCCTGCTTCAGTTTCCCCTGCTCTGGGCCAACCAGCTCTGGGTGCTCAAGCGTGAGGGAGGGAAATGTGGTCGCCGAAACTGTCAGGTTGTCAAGCGTTGATTTGGAAACCAAAACAAACTTCTCTGCCCTGTCACCACCCAGTATCACCAAAATATCCTGTTCTGAATGTGCAGACTGTGTGTGGGGGGTGATGGGGGGAGGGGGGACTTTTCCCTGGGAGGGTCCTGCAGACTCGATCTGAACTTTATAGACAAGAGGAGAGTTCTCAGAACTGCCTGGAAGCTGGGCTTGACTCTGCCGCTCTGGGCTGTGTGACCTCAAGCTGGTTACCACCCTCTCGGAGCTTCACACTGGGGGGTTCCTTTAGGTGACCCTTTGCTGCTTGCTCTGCATTTTCAGGTCTGTGCCTGGAAATGAGTGC